TTGTCGAGTTGTTGAGTTTGAATTGTTGAATTAACGAGATGATGAAATGTGTTGATTAAATATACGAGTTATCGAATTAGGGTATTACAGTTGTGGTCCTTTACAGTGTCTCCCATCCACCATAGTTACCTGCACCACAGGGGTCTTTTTGAGCGAAAGACCATCTCAAATCAGTCGGCTCGCTATTCAGTCGAACGCTCGCCAAAAGCCCAGCTGTTGATCAGCTCTCGACGGTCGACTAAAACCGTCGAGAGCTGGTCAAAAGCTGGGCTCTCAACCAGTAATGGTCCTGTTGAGAGACATGCTTCTCGATGGTCGATTGATGACCTGATAGGCCATTGATAGAGCGCCTTCAGACCAGCAATCGACCGTCTTTGGCATTGGTTCACTGAGCCGGCCTTCAGATGGTCGACAACGCTGGTCGGAATACCATCTCTTGGCCTATCAGCTCAAGTCTGTTATGGCCCAAGGCCATGCATGTAGGGAGGTGTCATCACATCAGCGACAGAGCACTTGGTTAGACATTGGGTTAAGAGTTAGGTTAAGGGGAAATGCATAAAGTTGTGATCTTGCTCGATGGACCAATCCCTCATCATTGGGATCTGGACTGCCAAGTGAGACAGCAGAGGAGAGAAAGACCACTGACCTGAGCTAGGTACCTTAACAAATTCAACCTCTACTCTTCCTTTATCATCAGGCTCTTACTGACTACTTTTCTCCCCTTACATAGCTCCTCAAGAATGCTTGAAACCATTGTAAACAGGGCACAATATTGGACCCACTCCCAAAGATAAACAATCTAACTCTACTTGTGAGTGTGTCTTACCTGTTCATTCTCTCTCTCTCTCTCTCTCTCTCTGTGACCATGTTAGACTCTGAAGGAGCCAATATGAACTCAAACAGATCATCAAGTTCCCTGGTGCTGAACAGCCAACTGATTCTGACCCACAGCTTTTGAAAGATGTGAGATTTTGTGAGAAATCTTGCTATGCCTACCTTGTGTGTATTGATCCATTTTCTGTAGTCTCTAATCATTAGTTTGAAATTCCTCTGATTGCCATTATCTTCCTTCCCTTCCAGTGAATGGAGGCTGTTTTTCTTCAAATAAAAAGTCAAGGGGATGCTAATGCTGCCATTTGGAAAAGAATTGATGGTCGATTAGCACAGTCATGCTTGAAAGGTCCTTGATTCACTGAAGTGTGAGTTTCATCCAAACTCTCTTTCATTTTTTCAATCATACTAACCTCTCATTCATCTTACAGCTTCTACAAGCTTGTCTTAGATGCAGATAACTTACTTTTTATAATGGGAAAAATACTGTCACTGATCTTGTCAGCCCTGAGGACTGCATGACAGTCCCATAGGCTGAAAGAAGTCATGTACATACATAGTTAATAGGAAGAAAGAAATGTAGTACATGGTGTAACATAAGTATTACACATGAATTACATATGTATTAAGTAGTGTAATATAGGTAATACATATGTAATAAGCAGTGTAACAGTAAATCACACCTCAAGCTCAGTATCAAGAGCTGTTGATACATGTATAAAGCCAGTCAATGGCATTACACAAGTACCAGCCATTTATGAAGAAGTGTAAACATAAAACAAGTAACTTGTAGTAAATAAAAGATATCCTTCACTAAGAGATAAACCAGTAAGGGCTAGGTTAGCCCCCTGACTTGAGAAATGCTTATAGTGAAGGAGGACTGAAGACTCAGGGTATAAAAGAAGGTCCCAAGGCCTTCCCTCTAGGAGGAGAATTCTGATCATCAATTAAGAACTTCACACCTCAACAGCTTGAGACACTATTAAAGTGATCCCTGAGCTTTCTTCTTATAAGATAGTCATAGAGTCATTCACCCTAATCTGGGTGTGGTGATTATTCTATCACAATAGAAATAGCTTGGACTCTTTTGTCTCTACTTTGGACTTCTTCTTGACTGCTCAAGGTTCATACTGCCTTGTCTTCACTGCACCCCATCTAGGAAGCTCCTCCCTCTTGTCTTTAGGGTTCTTGAGAGGGAGCTAGTTGGGGAAGAAGACCAAAGTGTCATAGTGCAAGCTGAGTGAAGCCCTGACTAGGGATTCAGCACCCTCACTGTGTTTCAGACAGGCTGGTTCTCCTGCTCACCCAGTGGATTCACAGTGCCCATCTGCCTCCTAAGACTGTGCAGCTCTAGGAGGATTTGGGGAAGAAACCCTCTAGTGCTCTGAGTTTTTGACTCAATAAACCACCCATCACTGCACTTTCCAGTGGGAGTCCAGCCAACAGAAGCCAGGACCTCACAGATCTCAAGGATCTGACTGACTTTGAACTACCAACTGATAGTGATAGTCAGGCAGCCATTGCATGCTTAGCTCCAGTAGTTTCTGTGGAGTCCAGTTCCCACATGAACATTGATGAGTGAGGCTAAGGGCAATGTTTGTGTGCATTTATTGTAATCACCTTCACTCAATTCCTCTCTCACCTATACTCTGTACACCCTTTTAGCAATCAAACCCACTGGTATAATGATCACCACAAAGTTTTTGTCCTAATTGGGTTGTTATTTCATGAGCTAGAGTTTTTTATTAGTAGTGATGTTACAATGTATTTTTTTCCTCCTTTTATTAGTTTTGGATGTTGCGCACATTGCCCTTAGCCTCACTCACCAATGTTCATGTGGGAACTGGACTCTGCAGAAACTACTGGAGCTAAGCATGCAATGGCTGCCTGACTATCATTATCAGTTGGTAGTTCAAAGTCAGTAAGATCCTTGAAATCAGTGACAGTATTTTTCCCATTATAAAAAGTAAATTATCTGCATCTAGCATTTCCAGTGAACAGCAGCAAGAGCAGGTGCAGTCATTACATGCAATCTTATTGGGGGAGTCAGATGATGAAGAAAGTGGCCTGCAAACTTTCAATGCAGAGTCAGACATTGAGATGGAGACTGAAGACATGGATGAAGATGTTTAGAGTCTCTTCAAAAACAAGGAGGTATGTTGATTTATTTTTCCAAGGTTGGATTTTGCATGTCCCAGCTTGTTCTGCAGCTTACCATCTTGAATTCTCTGTACAGCAGTTTATTGTGTCATTACTCATGGGCTCACCACAATCATTGATGTCTTAGTCAGAGTATGAATGGGTTTTCTCAATACTTGTCATTGGTGGTCTCAAACTCCCTGGATGGAAGTCAGTGCAGGCACTCCATGTCTGCCTCAAAGAAAGAATTTTCCTTTGGGGTCTCCAAGAAGGATAGTAGCATTGGAACACCATGCTTCTCTCTGAAGGTGGCTGGGGTTATAACTAGGGATGCTACCCTAGCCCTCCACTGCCAAGATATTTGTATCGGATGGGCCTATCCAATGTTCTATCACCCCAAGATATGCGATGCAGTGTCAGTAGGATTAGGTGCGATGGAATTACTATCGGTATCTAATGCTCTGACACC